GATTATACTCGAAGTGTTTAAGTTAGATCTAACTTTGAAAAGGCTTATTTTACTAATTAATTCATCAGTTATGACCTTTACCTAATGAACATGTTGCACTCGCTAATTTCATTTTAATTTTTGAAAATTTTACTTTATTAATCAAATTTTATCAGCAGTGTTTGATTCTGGCAGTATTAGAAAAGTTTGTAGTGTGAACTTTTGACCTCAAACATTACATCAAGTTGGAAGTTCTCGAACTTTTCAATTTCGTTACGAAGCACTGACCTTGACCTTTTATATAAACATAACTCATCTTTTGCCTAAACTAAATGACGAGGTGTTCGAATTTGCATGTATTTTTTATGGTTAATTTTTTCGCTAACAAATGAGATTGAATTATGTTTGCTTTTGCTGTCGCTGCACAATAATTGTAATGCATTGGAACACTTTTCAACAAATATCTCTTTTTCCTGCAGAATAAATGCCTTGTACGGAAAAGTTTTTACTAGAATAATTTTTATTGTAAAAGGTCAAATAAGGCATAATTGTAGAATTTTTCACGCTGACCTCGGAATCTGGTTGTGACCTCACTCTTATCATATTTGGTATTATTTTAAACTGAATAATATTTTTTTTTGATTTCAATTCCGGAAGAATAATTTTATTTCTGCACATTTCTATACAAAGTAGCTATAACTAGCTCATTTTGCTATAATCTTCGACGTGTACTATTATTACTTACTGTGTGGTACTATTTCTTTATTCTTTTACTCCACGCTACAGAAGTCACGTCATCTTTACTTAAAAATAGTAATATAGTAGTGTTATCACGCAGTAATACTTAATAAATTGTGACAAATCAACGTTGATACTAACTTCATTTCAAGGTTGATAGTAGGCTGTGGCCTTATGCGGTTGACTTAATTCAGTAGGTTTTATATTAAAGTTACTTATACTATTGCTATATCTGTTCTTATCATTGTAATGGTTGTTAATATGATAATCGTTATCTTCACTTTAGTTGAAATTGTTACGGTAATTACATAAGTAAAGCTTGACTACACAATTGCGATTTTATATTACTTGTTTACATTAAGTTTGCAGTTTGCTAAACAACTCGTCGCATTTGCAAATATCATCGTTAACTTGCGTTTATCACTTCATCAAGCTCACTTCAGAAGTATATCCATTCAACTTAAGCCTCTGCAAGAATTTGCATTAGGTATAGCGAAAATGGAGTAAACATGTAGTATTGATTACTTTTTGTCATTGTTGCGATATGCTAGGTCAAAGGTTATGGATAGAATTTCTTCTTAAAGAACAAGTCTGAAGTGTTATTGACTGAAGCTAGGCAAGCATAAGTTTAAAAAGTTTTGTCCCTACCGTATCTCCAGCAGCACTCTTCTAGTATTAGCAGCAAATTCTGTTTTTATTCATGTTAGTATACTTGGTTAAGTACCTAGACTAACTTGAATTCTGGCATTAATATTCATGGATTACTTTTAATTTTTATTCTTCTAAATATACTTTGTTTATTACTAAATTAATATATGAGGAGATAATTTATTTGTGTTGTAATATAATTGGTGCACTTGAAATGAATTTTTCACGTGTTTACTTTTTTTACGTGATTTATGCTTACGTAATCGGAAGAGTCTTTTGCTTCAATGATACAAAAATTGGTCAAACGTTTTAACCGCTCTCATTGCAAACACAAAAATGCGAAGAGGCTGCTTTTTTGCACTCACATCGATCTGCTCAATACGCAACCGATGAATTTGACTACTGCCGTTTTTCATTTTTATACTTTTACATTTTAGCCTTCAAAATTACATCTTTTTTTCGCAGTCAAAAATTTAAAAAATATATATGACGTAAAGTAGCGTGAAACAACGCAACGTATTTAACGTTAACGATATACGTAACATCAAATCTGTTCTCATTTCATTCTAATCTTATTATTAGCGGGCAGTTTACTTTTCATTTTGAAAATAAACGAACGTAACAATGCATAATATTTAGTGATAAAAATACAACAGTATACTATCAAATTTTACATTTCTTTTTTGTAGATAAATGATTTCAAAATTTACAGTAAACAATTACCTGCTGTAAGTTGATCACTGGTCTCATTGTATTGTAGATAATATTAGTGAAATTGGATTTACAGTGCTCATTTGTGCCAAATACTGTAGTTACTGTAGACACAACTGTGATGTGCGATATTTGAGTGGTTACGCAAGCACCTCTAGTGGAAATATATTGGATTCTTAGTTTTTTGGCGGAAATTGCAAATTGCGTGGACAATAAAAATATTACTTAGTGTGTATTACACTGATATAGTGTGAAAATAAGGTACTGTAGGGATGTACAGTACATTATTTTAGTTTACAAAAAGCTGTGAGTTTCTTTAGTCATTGAACAATTATACAATACAGTTGAAATATTGTTTTTTAATTGATTTAAAAAAATTATTGAAGCTAAAATATTATATTACTTAGTACATTTTGATTTCTGTACTGTACAGTAGTGTATAATGATGTTCTATGCGTTTCATACGCTGAATGTTCACGTTTAAATTATGGTAATAAGGCAGAATATTAATTTATTTTAGTTGATTCCATTGTCTATATTTGAGTGAACAATAGCATTGTTTAATAAATAAGAAAAATTTGAATAAGTAATTTGATCTAAATTTGGTACAGTAATGAAAGGTCAAATTTTATTTCACTGCAAAGTTCAAATGGTAATTGCTAAAAACATGTATGCTAAAATTCATACTCAATTTATTTTTGCTATTAATAATTAGCGAGAAATTATCAGCGTTTATCTATGCAAAATTATCATCGATTCTTGCGGAGTTTATCTGATTTTTTTTCTTTCAATTCTTTGCATATTTTTATACTTTTATGCATAAAATAATGAAGAATCGTTGGCGTACTGTCGAAGTATTACGATAAGACTCAACTTTTGTTATCAGTAGACTTAAATTAATGAAAGTAAAATGTGAATTAAAGTTAGTATTCATGCAAGATTCATTCATCAGATATTAGTCATTCAGCATTATAGCCAAGCGCTGCACTAACACACTTAATTATAAAGTATGCATGAAACTTTCTTAAAATGAGGGTCGGAGGTCACGTAGTATGATGTTTACTGTTTAAGATTTTTTAGTGTTTATAGTATATAAATGCCTAGGTTAGGGGTAAAAATAAGTATAGAATCATATAGTATCTTAATGATTTTATAAATCCTACGAAAAAAGTTTTATTACTGCATTTTTATAGTCACTTTATCGTTTTATGATTATTGTTGTTTGCTTTGAAGCAGTTAAAATTATAAATTTTAGCTTTACATTTAAGAATCTGACATTGAAAATGATGTCAAGTGAGATAAAAGAAGGCTAGCCATTAGGACGAGTAAACAAAGTAAGGCATGTTGGTTAAGGGTTGAAGGTCAGAGGGCGAGGTCAGTGTTGTTTTTAATGCAACAGCTTTACTCTCATTGCAATGCACTTCTAACCGATTGATTTAGCTTTTTGCCAAATTCACTCCCACTTTATTACTTAGCTGACATTAGCGAGAATTGACATAATATTTATTCTATTTGCTCTTTTTTGCTAAAACTTTTAGGTCCAAAGCAAGTTTACATTTTAAGTAATAAAATATACTTAAGTAAACTTTTATTTCATTTACAGTTAACATTATTAACTTACCGTAACAATGCGTCTTACTGTACCTTTATACATTGCTTAGATATAAGTACGCTACAGTAATAACTTTGTAAATTACTGACAAACCGACAAGAAATTCATAAATACAAAACAAAATGTCCTTCTTCGCATTCCTTTTATATTAGTCAGAAATTATGCAAATTTTGTTCAATCATCCATCTCATTCCATTCATTTATTCCTTTTCCATATCAATTCCATTCCATTCCTTTAGTCCTATTCTATCAATTCCATTCCATTCCATTCCATCGATACTTTTTATTATATTCACCACTTCTGCTATTTCCTTGACAAATAATTTTCACCTTTTGAAAGCAAAGACTGCTTATACAAATTGAAAATTATTACCTATTATAGTATAAATTGCTTACTTATAAGCATGGAAATGTAGTAGAACTGGGAGATCAGTTAAGGTCACTGGGCTCATTGCTTGGCGTGGACTGACCTACCCCAATTATTACTCTTCAAACTTTTGAAATAGTTAGATAAATATGTACTTTTTAAGTATAATGCTTAAATCTTACATAATTTCCAGCAAGTTAATATACCTAGCAAAAATACGTAAAAATTTAGCGTGAAAAATTTTACGCTAAATTTTTGCGTATTTTTGCTATATACTTTACAATGCTTTATCACTTTATTGATCATTTATTATTTTTGTTTAAGTAATAATCATAACTTTTAGAATTTTAACAATAGTATCACACAGATTTTTGGGCCTTCTTGATTGCTAATCTTACAATGAAAATATCCATCATTTATCACTGTAATTCCCTGAAATTACTGTAACCGTAAAAGTTATTCGAATTTTTTAACTTTTATCGTAATTATCGAAAAACATTCAATAATTTAAATATTATTTGTTATTCATTAAATATTGCTGACATTCTGTTTTTCTAATAGTTTTACTGCTTATATTTTATTAATTGTTTAATTAACTTTTAATATTTAATTATACTAAATGCTTCATAATATTTTTAATATAAATTCATTTCAAATATTATTTGATAGTAGAAAGAATTAATTTTTGCAACTTTCAGTAGTTTTTCTATATTTCAAATTTAATGTTTATTGATTTAACTTAATAAATTATTAATTTATTTTTTGTTTGCTTACGCAGTAAGTTATATTTTTATTTTGAAGTATTAATTGTGATATTATTATTGCTTTTTGGTGTTTTAGCTATAATTTTTAGGACCAAAAATGGAAATTTCAAACAAAATTCCTAATAAAAATTAAGTATTCATTAATGTTGACGTGTGTTTAAATATAATTTAATTTTAATTTTTAAATATTTTTTTTTGCAGAATTATCTTTTGGTGCACCGTCATAGAGACGTTGCCCACGTGATGCGTAAAACTGGTAATGAAACCCACTCGATATGATATCATGTGGTTCTTTGGTACCATCAGAATTATTGTAGTTGTAGTTGTAGTAATAACAGACGATCTGATGCCGAATTACTGATTTTACAACGATTAGTTCCGGAATTAAACGACAGAAAGGATTTATCATTATTCAGTGTAATTATTACAGCAAAAGCTGAATAATAATCTGAATTTGCATATAATATATACTTTTCTAATAGTCTCTTTAAAAAGTAATAGAGACGTCTAAAAGTATACTTACAATTTTAATCGAAAGTAAAATTTGAGATATAAAAATTTAATATGAAGTTAAACGACGAATGTAATATGCAACTCTCGACTGACCCTCAACATACTTTCTCAAAGGTCAGTTTTTTATTTTTGTTTTCCCCTCAGATATCTGTAAATCGCTTGTATTGTTTGTTAATATTTATTTTTATTGCTGTTAATTCCTTGAGTAATTCTATTTTTGTTCAAAGGTCAGTGGTCAGTAATTGGATGTGGAGTGTAGTTTAGCTATTTTCATGCTTTAAAATTATCTACTAAATTGAATTTTTAAGCAATAAACGTCAATAAAGTGACCTTATTTTTTGCAAATTTTTTTTTCAACTTTTGATATTTTTTCTGCTGCGCAATTGGATTGCTTAAACATAACAATATTTAACATGACATAACAGTATCTATTTGACAATAGTAATTAATATACAAGTCAATTTGACTATTTATTGCTATCCAAATGAAAGTTACGAAGATTAATTAAAACTGAATAAAGTCAAATTTATCGGTGACAAATAATAGTAACGACAGTGATAATAAATAATAATTGGTAGTAATAATAATGACGATTATTAATAATTTTAATAGCTTGTGACTGTCATAATTGATAACATAATGAATTAATGGTACTACAAGTAAAAATATTACATACCAGAGGTGATAATCTCTGTAGTAGTTGATAATAATAATTAATAATAATAATAATAATAATAATAAACAACTTTGAACGAAGTGGTTTTTTTCAAAAGTTTTAAAAATTTGTATAATTTTCAAGTTAGGTTAGTCAGATTTATAATAATTGGAGGGATAAATTCAAAAAATTAATCGTTGATAATTCAAAAAATATGCATTAAATAACAAAAAGGATTATTAAGGGTTTTTTCTACCTTTTTGAAAGAAAACTTTATTCTAGTAAAAATTTGGTAGTATGTTTTATTTTCTTACAAATTTGAATATTGTCATTTAACCTTGGACATAACTTTGCTTGCTCTTATCACTTCGCGCTATCATCTAGATCTTAGCATTCTGAACTGGTAATTCTCTAAAAACTTGTTTGCAAATTTGCGTAAATTTTAGAAAGGAAAATGTGTGAATAAATCTTATTATTAGTACAAATTTGTAAATATTACGATGCAATCAAATAGTTTCATTTTTGTTAGGTACTGTAGTTCAGTTATCTGCAGAAGGTTTATTCAGTCTGGGATTACTTAATTTTCAAATGGGATTACGGAAACATTAACCAATCGACTGATTAAACTGTATTATTATTGATTGATAACTTTTTTGATTAGATAGAAAAAGTAGTATCGAAGCATGTTAAGAGAAAATTAGTTTGTTCATCCTTGATCCATCCTTAATATTCTTTGCGAACTGATCAGCTTCATCTGAAGTTGACTTTTTGTGCAAAATAATAAAGTTATTGCTTCCCTAGAAGTAATTAATATAGTTATTTATGTAGGGAATTAATATAATTAACTAATATACTTGAAACGTAAAATTCTATCTGTCTTAGATTTAAACATATCTTGGACTAAACATTTAAATTTTTAGTTAGATCTAACTTACTAATACTTACTTTTATCTTGCAGTAATTATAAGTCAAAACAAACAATATTTAAATTATTGACAAGTTAGAGAAAAATAGATAAACTGATACGACTAGAATTTTATCATATTTTAAATTTGTTCAAAATTTGTGGATAACTTTTGATGAAAAAATTGATCGATAAATCATTAAGTTTAAAAGTAAACTTTAAGTAAGTTAGTCGATGTTCAAATTTTAAATTCTATTTTGCACATTATTACAAAGTAATGTTTTAGCAAAACTAATTCGAAAAAAAGTTGCAAGTATTTGATAATTTATGCATAAATTGTCAGTATGCCAGTAAACTGAATTAAGTTAATTAGGATTTCAGTTTTAGATTTTTAAGTACAATAATAAATTATTGCTTTGATAATTCTTTTACTTGCAACTTTTTTTCGAATTAGTTTTGTGCTATAATTTAATTCATTTTGATAAGTTATTACTCACGTTATCTACGTATTTTAAACAAATTTAAAATTTGACAGTCTTATCAATTTATTTATAATTTATCAAATTATTACTTTTTTAAATTTCAGTTTAAAATTATTTTAAATTGGTGGCAATTATAATATAAAGTTATTAAAGTGTTTTACTTGCAACAAAGTGATTTTACTAACAACGAAGCTTTGTTTATATAAAAAATCATGAAAAGTTTTATATTTGCTTAACTAATTGGCGGGCTTTTATAACGTAAGATTATTACTGATTTATATGAATTGCAATACATTATTTAACTAAATAATTGTTATTTAGCACATGAAGTTTCACCTATGAACTATTGATTTATTTTAACTTATTAATTGTAATCATATTTGCTAGTAATGGCAATAGTAGATAAAGTCATGTTAGTGAATTTGTCAGAATTTTATGTGATAAGTAACAAGCAATTAGCAAATAAGAATTAAATAATCAGTAATGATAATAGTGAAATACTTATTAAAATATCTTTACTTATTATACTACAAAATACTTATACTAAAAACTACTTGATAAATACTTATAATTGCTACTTATTTAGTAAGTAGCGATTATTTACTTAAATAATCATTAATGATAATTGCACGGTAATATCTTATATATTTTATCATTAAATTCACTTTGTAATGATATATTAGAAAGTAATTAAAGTGTTAACTACGTAATATACATTAACAACTGTCATTACATTTCCGTCTATTTGGAAATTTGTGAACTATGTAGAGTAAGTAAGTTATTATAGAAAGTTTAATTTGTAATATTTACTCATAATTTATGAAGTTGTAATTGGATTGAGGGATTAAATGAAATAAATGAATGAGAAAGATATTTAGATCAAGGCCGGGTCTGTTCAGAGTATGAAAGTTTGGCATAGGTATAATTCTGAGATGTAGATAACAGTTTCATTGCTAGCTAAGAATCCGGGCATGAGATTGAATTCGAATCTTAGTACTTCAAACATAATTCTGAATATGATTATTTCCAATTCAGATTCAGATTTGTATTTTAATTAAATGTTTAACTAAGTTTTAAATGGATTAATAGAAAATTGAGATCAGTACTGGATTTGTAGAATATATATTAAACACATTCACAGCCATCTTTTTGAAATTTGTTCTCTTAGATATTTTGTGTAGAATTTATGGTACATATTGAATGACAAATTTGTCAAACAATTTAAATATATCTTAGATTAAAATTTTGTCTATCTTAGATCGAAACATATCTTAGATTAAAGACTTAAATTCTTAGTTAGATCTAACTTACTGATACTAAGAACCATAATTCGGAATTTAATTTTAATTGAATATTGCTTATCATTTATTCCTTACTGAATTACTTTCCTATTTTCTTTTTGCGATAAATTTTTGTATTTAAATTATTTTAAATTTGTGTCAATTTTTATTATTTACATTTATATTTTGTCATTTTTTCTATTTTTGTCACAATTTAGGCAATTTTTAATTTACTCACACAAAGTGTAATTTAATTTACTAAATTCCAAAGTGAATTTTATGAGAAAAATTAGCAAATTTTGTTCGATAGATTTCTCGCATATATCAATTTCTAATGCGTTACAAAAGTGACACTTTCACGCAATGAATTTTTCGTTCTTTCCTTACTTTCTTAACATTTTTATTAGTTACCTTTGTTGTACTGTCAGAATTTACTCATACCATACTTTTGTTAATCTTTTTTAGTAAATTGTGTGTGAGATGAACTCATTAAAGTCAGGATATTTGCGTGTATGCGTAAGGTGGTTTTTGCATGCGTGCGTAAGGTAAGGCTTTTTGTGTGTTGTATGAGGGTATTTGCGTGTGTGTATGTGAAACGCATTTGCGTTTATGCGTGTCTGTGTGTGTATGAGAAGAATATATTTGTGTTTATGTGTGTGTGCGTGTATGCGTGTGTGCGCGTGTGTGTTTATGCGTATATGTGCATTCAAATTTTTATGAATGATATCTATACATGGTAGTGTATGTCTATGTGCACATACATATATATGTGCATGTGTGGTTTAGAAAAAATACATGAAATGAAATATTACACTTATCAAAGGAATTTGTGATACTAAACTTCTGTTATTGGAAAAGTGAACTACCATTGGTTGATTACGCTAAACGACGTAAAAGAAGTTATTTTTTTCGGTTACTTCCAATCATTCTTGACGGGAACTCTCGAAAGAGTCTGGGAGATTTCTGATTTATCATTAGCAATTAATCGATGTTGACAGGAATTCTTGTTAAATTTTTTTTAAAATTTTCTATTTATTATTAGAAGTTATTCGTTGTGAATAAAAAGTGATCTCATTCTGTTATCATTGATAATAAATCTAACAATTAATAACAAAGTAATTTGAAACTTTTTATTTTTTCAACGGTAAGCATTGTAATTATAGTAATTACATTTTATCGTAATTATTAATTATAATAAATATATTTATTTTTATTCTTTTGCTTTCATAACACCACCTTGGCATTTTTGTATAATTTAATAATATTTCTATCATCGTACTGTAAATTATCAGTACTAAGGGATAAAGTGATTGCTATTAACGTGGACTTTCCATTTTTGAATAGTGATGTGGGATAATAGGTAATATGCAAATTAGATTAATTATCAGATTAATTAGATTAATTGGATTATTTATTATTAGATTTATTTGAGTCTTTTTCAAGTACAGTTTTGGATTTTGTTATGTTATGGATGAGACATTACTATTGAAGCATTACTTGTGTCATTAGTGATCTCAGTGGCAAATTATTTCTTAGTTTACTGTTTTGTTTTTTTAGTACATAAAAACAGGTTCTGAGGAATCAGCGAATAATTTCATTGTGAGAGATATATTATCTGTCTTTTATTTATTGTTGTTCAGAAAAATTCGAATTTTTCAATAATCAACGCTTCATCTATTTTCATATTGCAAAGTGACCTTTTTACCTTTTACTTCAACATTTGATTTTATTAAAAATTGAAGTAAAAGTATCATTCACGTAAAAATTACAGTAATGTTCATTACCTTTTTTGAATTTATAGTTTTAAAACATTTTTTGAATGTCAAGTTAGACGTTGTATAAATATTTATGTGATTGCTTAGGTAATAAGAATAAGATTAAATTCAAAACAATAAGTTAGTATGAATGTGGTCAAGACTATTTCGAAGTTTTTACAGTCTTTGAAATTATGAACTTTTGTAAATTATATCAGATTTTTTTTCTCAGTCACACCAGTAAACATTATTTTTTGCTTTTTATTTTAGCTACCTCTAATCCAGTACATTTAAATATGTATAGTTTTTGCATATAAGTATTTTTGAATTGAGTACAAATTTTGAGTAAATTAATGAATAATTTAAATTAAAAAAAAGTATTAATTTAATTAGTTCAAATTAAGTAAACCATTTATTTAAAATTTGCACTTAATTCCGGAATACTGGTATACGAAAACTGCACAAATTTAATTATATTGAAAATAGCTAAAATAAAAAGTAAAAGTTTTGGAGTTGGTTGGTAGATTGTATGACATATATTGGACATGAAATCTAATTATGAGATAATATCGTATTGATATAAATTGCTGTTTTTAAATTTTATTTTACATAAAATAAAAATATATTTGAAAAAATTTATGCTTTTTTAATTTAATTAAAATATAATAAAAATATATTTAAATTTATTTGTATATTCCAATTTTATGCTGTAATGAAAAGCTTTTCAAATATATATGTATATATATGTTTGGTTTTATAAAACCAAAAAAAGAGTTCAAAAAAGACTAATTAGAAGAAAAATTACTTAATTAACTATAAGTGAAATTAAATATATTTGTTTATTTTTTGTAATTCTTAATTTTTATTAAAAAAAGCATAAATTTATTCGGCGAATTTTCTTGCGAAAAATTGAGCAAAAGTAAAGTTTTGTGTTCATAAAATATTAGACGGAAAAAATAGTATTTTTGATTTTTTTTTTCGTATTTTTAGGCTAATGTGAAATAGATGCTAATATCTCATCTGGAAAGGACAAAAGTGGGAAGTTTAAATGATAAATTATGAGTTTTTTTTGCGTTTTTATTTTTATTTTTATTTTTATTTTTATAAAAAAAAGTTGACTGATTAAATGCTTTATTGTTATTTGCATAGGCAAAAATAAGCAAACCAAAGCTTTTCTTACATTTTTTTTAACTTTTTTTTTTCAAAGCCAAGAAGACATTTTGGGTTTTTACTTTGAGAGATAAGTTAGAATAAAATCTAAATTACTTTTTCGCTCTGAAATTTTTCTAAATTTTTGTATAATACAATTGTAATCTCACTACATTTGTTAATCAAATTTAGTGATTTTATTGAATTTTTTGGTTTAATTTAATTAAAGTGTTTGTAATTTAATAATTTAATTAAAATTCAATTAAATGTTTGAGTAACTCAAATTTTTAAATATTTATTGCGATTGTTTTTAGTGTATGAAAGCAAATTTTAAATTTTTGACGCTTTTTTTTTAATCTTAAACTTAGGGATTATATTTTTACTATTTTAATTTATGATTTAAGTTTAATTTGCAATTTTTTTTTCAGTATCTTTTAAAGGTTATTAGTTTTTACTGTTTTCATAATTACTGTATTTGATTCTGATTCAAGTAAGATTATCAATATCACTGTAGTAGTTTGAGGAATATCATATATTGGTTCCAGGTAAAAATACAAGAAAAATGTCCAATAGAAATGGAAGAAAGTTCTTGGAGTATTACGATGGATACTACGATAACTGCTGAAATTAATAGTAATACAGAAGACAGTAACAGTTCGTTATTACAAGAACTCTTTTGTGAAGCATGCAGTGCACTATACAGTGATATTCTGAATGCAATGAATGATCAGGTGATTGCTGATTACATTTTAGTTGAGAATCTGTTTAATATCATACTGTATAACCTCTATATGTATTTATAAGGAAGGACTAACTGTGATGCACCGAGTTATCGAAGTCTAATCATCCAAAATTCTGAAATCTTATTATCATAGTGTGCTCAAGGTATATCTGTCTCAATTTTATGGTTATAGAATAGTGGGTGGGTTTACTGTAGTGCGCGGAGTAATTTTGTAGTTTACACTCATTATTGTAATTTTGCTATAATTGTTTTTGAAGAGTCTAGATAGCGCGGCGTTTTTGTCGGGCTCTCTTGTTTTCTTAATAAATGTGTATGGTATAGGTCGTTCTACTTATTGTATTTCGGAAGTAGTACTAACATTACGATATTTAAATACAGCATTCTGCTTCGTGCTCAAGTCACATCTGGCATTACAGTAGAACTAAGATTATTGTTGACTGTATGAAATTTTCATACAGTATTGCTTGTAATGAAGATGGTGGTATGGATGAACAAAATTTTAATATACTTTCCACTACTAAAAGCAATGCCATACATTTGATCTCATGTTTTGCTCGTGACCTTTGCTATTACTGAATTAATTCTTTAATTAAAAATTATTAATTTTGTTTGAAAATTTATAACTTTTTTTAAATTGTCAAACTTTATATTACTTTTCAAGTTGCTAATATTAAATAAGTTGTGTAAACTGTAGAAATGTTTGATCTACCAAAGTTATCCAATTTTTTTGAATAGTAACTTATTAAATTAAATACATCATCTTATATTTGAAAGAGTATCAAAATATCTGTATCAGTAATTTTACCAAATGCTTTTGCCAGTGCTTTTTTCAGGGTTTGCTTATAATGGTTGGTCTATAAGAATGCTTACTTGTTACGTTAGCATGTAAATGATTTAATTTGACCTGTATTGACCTGTAAACATAGAATTTAATTTCGTAGGAGAATTATGTAGTTAACTAGTGGACATGGAATGTGAAAGCTGGACAATTACTTTTCTTGAGCAAATAAGCGACCATCAACTTTTGAATGTAATTCTACTGGTGGACTTTTAGATAAGAAAGTTTCTTTTATTAGCAAAAAGCACAAAAGTAAAGTAAATAAAGTTTAACTTATTGCAATTTACATTACTTATTGCTATCCTAACATTGTTAGTCCCGGAAGTGTGACATTCCCACAGGGTCACTACACTTGTCGTATAACCTATAATATACTTGCCGTGAATAATGTTAATTATTGTTTAGTATAACTTAATTTAAGTACTAAATAATCTTCGTAGAAATGCTTCATTTATCGCAAAAATCCCAAAAATTACAGTCATTGTTTTTAGCAAAAATGTCAACACGTAAATCTAACAGTAAAATAACCTTTTATTATTTAATTACTATTATTACTAATATTTTAATTAAATTGTTGGAATATATTCAGCGCAATAATAATATTGTGTAATGATAATTATATTAATATTAATGTGCATCATAAAAACAAAAAAATATTTTGTCAGTATTTAATATTTATTATTATTACTTTTTGGAGATGCAAGAATATACTTTTCATGTAAACAGTAATTATGTTAATAATAATAACATTTCATATAAGCAGTGATAATGTTGATAATAATAGCAATAATAATAAGAAAAGCAGAAATAATGATAGTAAGAAGAAACTGAACATTAATATCATTATTATTTTTCTGCGATGATAGTAATGATAATATTGTTGTTATTTTAATTATTATTACTATTGTATTCATATCATTTGACTTTACAAATTTAAAGAAAAAAAGACCGCAGTTATCGAAGCAGATGTTAACTAAAGTAGTTATTACTGAAAAAGTTAAGCTATATGTAATAATGTTTTTCCGATATTAATGCTTAATTTACTTTAGAAAGCATTGAAAATGAGCCGAAAGAATTGAGTTTCAGAAAGATTTATGCAAATTTTCTTTCATTTAGGGATTAGATGCTATATTTAATTAATGGAAATTGGATATTGGTGTAGGATTTATGCATATTATATGAGAAAGTTGCTCATTTAATTAAATTATAAGCAAATTTTGTTTATTGTAATATTTGCAGATCTCTTCAATATTTACTGTCATAATTGTTTGTCAGTTTCTAAATTCTAATCAGTTTTTAATTGTCGAACCTTAAGTTTTATTAAAATTTGTTAAAGTTTATAATTAATATTAATTAATGATTGGTTGTTTAATTATTCTACTTTATTAATTTTACTATATGAAGTCGAGCTGATTATTTACTAATTTTGCAACAGCTTTTTTTGATGCAGAAAAATACTAGCAAAAATAAACTTTCTTCTGTTTTAATCGCATTTAATTCAGACGTAAACACGCGTATACATTTATACTTCAGACGTGAACACATGTATACATTTGTTGTGCTTAAAAAATTACGTTTCTAAGGTTGAAATTATATGTAAGTGAATGAATAAGTGAATATATATAAATACATGCTAGAAAACAATATTTTTTGCATATTTTCAGGAGATTGAAGACAAGGATATCTTTAGTCGACATGTCGAACTGATCAAACAGGGATCTGAATTATCCAACTCGTTTCCCCAGCTGTCTAATTTGATCACATCTAAGTATAATTCAAATTCTTGATCAAGTGTAAAAATATTTGCATAATAGTAAAGGAATCAACCTTTTTCACGTAAAACTCACAAGTTATAATATGCTAGTTGAAGAATCTGTGATTCGGCTGTATTATTATTTGCAGCAAGTAAAAATATTTGTATAACAATTAATTGATTACCTAATTGATCATTTCTTATCCAAAATTTGACTGATAAATTGAATAACTGATTATCTATGGTCATTTTTCCGTAAGTCAAAGCATTTTTGTAACGTCCATAATCTTTTTTTGTAAAAAACAGAGAAGTATTACCTTAGAGATCTTTTTTTCAGACTTTTTTGGAAAGTTAAATTAATTTATCCGTTCACTGATCGATCATAATCGATTGATTTGAGCAAATCAGCTTGATTGACTTTTTAATATTATGTGAATAGATTTTTTTGATAATACAATTTGTCAAAAATTTATTCTTAAATATAGTCAGTCATTGAATGAATAATTTTACCTAATTAGATAGAATTTTTAAAAAATACTGATTAGTGTACTTAATTTAATTTTTAATTTATGTATTAAAATATTAATTCATGTACTTAATTTAATTTTAGAATTAATCTATTACAAAGTATATCAAGTCATTGCTAGAAATTTCATTTAGACATTTGTTTCGATTATGACTTCAGCAACTTCGATATTTTTATAAAGTAATGGTAACTTAGTGTAGTACTGATTTACTTTGATTATCAATTTACCATTCAAAAAGGTTTCTGAGGATATTTGTGATTAGGGTAAGTTCATAAATAATGCTGTGTTGTAGTTTAGAAATTAACTTTAAATCTTTTAAGCTATTTCCCACCAATTTTTTGCCGGTAGTTTTTTCTAGCAGTACTTTTTATCAAATTGTTTAACTTCGAACGCAATGTTTAATATTTTATCCCTACAAAATTATCTTATTACTAAAAAGATATAAATTAAGAGTTTTTAAATAAAATTTAAAGCAGTTATCTTATATAAATTATATTAAACAACAGAATTTCCGTATATATATTTAGTTGTGTATTACAAGATATTCAAATAATCATGCATTATAGTTGTAATAAAGTTATTATGGCGCTAATTTTAGTTGTAATAGTCTAATTTCAATTTGTAGTGTTAGACAGCAATCAGATTCAAGTTAATCTTAGTAATTAATGTTTAGCATATTCGGTGATTTGATCAGTTGTCAAAAGTAGAGTAGATCATATTTGCATGATTCTAAATCAATATCAAATATAAATTTGTTTCAATTTTTAATTTGAGTACATTTAATATTTTTTAGTAATTGCATGTACAATTATAAAAATTGACCTCTTAAGTGAATAAGTTCGGGTAGAAGAAAATCTTGAACAACTTTTTGTATTATAAATTCTGAAGTATGGCAGTAATGCACTACTTTTTTTTGCATAAAGTTGTTAGGTGTCACTGTAACCTAAATGATACCTTTTATTACATTCGGTACAGAATTTGCTCTCCACGTCCATATAGTTATTTGGTTTGTTTTAGTCATATTATATTAATTTTCTATGTATATATTAATGATTTTCCTTTTGATTATTACATGTATTGATTAAATTTTAAAATTTATTAAGTTCGGTATTTAATTAAAATTAGAAAATTATGCAGCTAATTTGCTTATTTTAGATTGAGTACTATTAAGAGAGCTATGGAGCAGCTAAAATTATGTCATCGTTGTTCCTTGGAAAATTGCAAAGAACATAGTAAAGGTAAGTATTTTTATATAAAAATTACAGATGGTATATTGTGGATAATTTTCAATCTGTATAAATTCACCTTTGACCCGATCAATTGTGAACTTTGTGGGGATATTTTTTAGTAAAGCAATAAAAATGTTTTATATATAAACTTTCTGTGATATGTCGTTGATTTAATCTCCATATTCAGTACATTTGTTAGTATCGAGAATGTATTGTTTTTATTTTAGAAGCAATTTTCTACAAAAACAATCACTTTAATTTATTCTAATGTTTTTTAATATGTGAATTTTAGATGATAACGAGCCAACATCAATTTCGGAGCTACGAAAATGGCTTCAAATAATGAATGATAAGCTGTCTGCTATGGAAAGTAACTTTT